GCCTACTTTGGACCAGTCAATTATCTGCTCAAGGAGGAGGATTGTATTCCACTTGCATGGATGTCCCTGTGGTAAGCAAGTAGATGGGGACGTGAATATTTTATAGAAGAAAGGGGAAAGAGACTTGCACGACAGCAGAAATAATTGGTGTCCACTATGAGAATTCATAAAAAAGTTACCACACCAGGGCCTGGCGTGGTGGCTCACACCTGTCATCCCAGCACTTTGGGAGGCTGAGGTAGATCATGAGGTCAGGAGATCAAGACCAGCCTGGCTATGATGAAGCCCTGTCTCTACTAAAAATACAAAAAAATTAGCCAGGCATGGTAGTAGGCACCTGTAGTCCCAGCTAGTCAGGAGGCTGAGGCAGGAGAATGGCGTGAACCCGGGAGGCGGAGCTTTCAATGAGCCAAGATTGCGCCACTGCACTCCAGCCTGGGTGACAGAGTGAGATTCCGTTTCAAAAAAAAAAAAAAGTTACCACACCACTATACCCAGACCAGAATAAATACATTTATGCATATGTTTTTCTTCTCAATATATACATTTCTAGACATTTAAACAGTCTACAGGTTTTTAAGAAGACAAAACAAAAATAGTATGTGTCTATTACAGTGAATATAGCTAACCTACTATTAAGATTCAAAAGAGAACACAGATGCTGTAGACAGTAAATGTTTTATATGCCTAATAAACTTCTCATCAAGTAATCTCAAGACAAATTAGAAGTTCAACAAATTGAAACACTTATTTTTTTGTCCTAACCCTATTCTCTCCTGTCTCTTAGAAACCCAAATCTTTTCTCATTTTGCACTCTTACCTTCTGTTACTTTTCTATCCTTAAATCACCTTAGTTTGGGGTCAATCATTAAGTGTTTAGCATTAAAGATCTAAAGGATGGTGTAAAGCGCTTGAAACTATTTGAAAAACCAATGAAATGCGTCTATATGATTAGCGCTGAACAGAGTACCAGGCTGGGAATGGAGGAAAAAAAAAAAAGCAATTTCTCTTTATCTCTCTTTTCCCAAAAATACACAGAGCAATTTTAGGCAAGTCATTTGTGTTCCCTGTAGCCATCCATAAATCATAGTAACTAGCCTATTTGTTCTTCAGGATAAAGCCTGGGAATATCAATAGACAAACTATGAATAGGACCCATCTACAGGGAGAAGTGGAGAGGAATCTCAGAAAACTAGAGATTTCCCTCTCTTATCAGAAGATGAACTCCTACCCGGAAGAATCTATTTTGTGTGTAATACAAAATAATTTCTTCACTTGGGTCAAATTGCAAGAATCCAATTGCTCTCTGCCAATAAACTCCAGGCCTGAGTGAAGGATCCAGTCAATAAATTTCAAGTTTTGGAAAAAGACCACTTTGTGTCACTTTCCAGAATTTCTTCTGGTTATTACCAGTGTAATACTGAATAATTTTAGAAAGAATAATGTTGGAACCTCTCAAACAGAATGAGAAAAATTAAGTGTGGCTAGCATGGTTTTTTTAAAAAAAAGGAAATTTAGAGTTTCATTTTACATTGGATTTTGTTGCTATGACATGATTCCTTTTTAAGAAGGAGGAATTGGCTGGACACAGTGGCTCATGTCCATAATCCCAGCACTTTGGGAGGCCGAGGCTGGTGGATCACGAAGTCAGGAGATCAAGACCATCCTGGCTAACACGGTGAAATCCCATCTGTAGTTAAAATACAAAAAATTAGCCTGGCATGGTGGTGGAAGCCTATAGTCCTAGCTACTCAGGAGGCTGAGGCAGAAGAATGGCTTGAACCCGGGAGGCAGAGCTTGCAGTGAGCGGAGATAGCACCACTGCACTCCAGCCTGGGTGACAGAGCGAAACTCCATCTCAAAAAAAGAGGAGGAAGCAACAAATAATGGGAGAGGAGGTGCTAACTGGCCTAGAAATCAGTGTTACCAATTAAAGATTATTCCTTCATGACTGTTTTCAAATATGATAAGAATTCATATGTAAGGAATTCCATGGAGGGAAAAGAGGTACTAAAATAACAACATTATCTTAAAACACAACTCACATTTTCCATACGACAATAAAAATGTGTCTAACTGGGCTGCTTGGTTACAGCTTAAATGCAACACACATTGATGGAGGACTTGTGCCATTTTTAAGTTTATTGCACAGATGCTTAATTTGGGTTCTTTAAAAATCCTGTCATTTCTTTTTTTTGGTAGTTGGGATATTAAAATATGCAAATAAGCATGTTATAGTTGATCAGTGCTAATCTTTTTTGTAATAACTGATGTTCTCTCCCAACAGCCACCACTCCTTCTGTTCTTGTCACCTTCACCCGGGAGTCACAAAATGCTGAAGACAGTCACTTTTTACTTGATTCAATTTCAGGAGGTTGTAGCTAGGCCAAAATCCTCCACTTCCTCTTTCCTACTTTTCCCCCCTCTCCTAATTATATGGCTTTACATTGATTTACATGGATTTCACCTTTCAAAAATTATTGGTCTTTGCTGAATGCAAATAAGCAAATGGGAAAATTATATTAAGTTTGCACAATTGATCTCTCATCATTTCAAACGGTACCTTTGAACAGTTCCTGAAATGTCTGTCTGAAATGCTCCCAGCGTTGAGTGTCATCAAGAGGCGCTGGGTCACTCTGGGGAAACCCATTCTCAGTGATATAAATTACAGGGTTATTATATGTATCCTAGAAAAAGAGAACAGAAATGTTATTCCAAACAGATGTTTTAAAAAAAGAAAGCTCATAAAATCAGGTACATTACCCTCTATCTTCTGTAAGCTACAATCCCAAAACTAGTTTTCATCAAATTGCACTGACCCTATTAACTTAATTTTCCATGCATTGACCTTTTATAACTAACAACGGAAACGCAAAACTGTGCAAATGTCCATGAAGACAGTCAAATGACTCTTATTATAATGAGAAGACAGAAATATCTTTCTTCCATCAGCATCTGTTGACTGTCACTGCTCCTTAACCCCTCAGTCCTGCCAGCAGCTACATTTGACATCCCCCACAGGAGGGGTTCTGAAAACCTGTACTTGAAATTTTAATTTTAGCTAACTGGATGTCATCCAATATAGTTGAGAATCAAAAAAAAAAAGATCCAGCTATCTCAATCCTTAAAATGTCTTTTATAATCATAGTTGTGACACTAGATTGAAAAATATATCCAAACTACTTCTATAGCCACAACTAACTTTAACAACAAATCCTAGACTTTGACCACTGCTTTTGAAACCTTTACTAGCTAGTTACTCCTCGTCAGCTCAAATCTTAATCTGCTCTTCCCAGGCCAGCAAATGTATATGCTATTACCTAAAGTAATTCTTTTTCAGGTCCATATATACATATACATATGCCTGTCTTGCCCACCCTCACATATTTGGGTGTAATGGACACACAAAAAATCATGCATTTACCTTAATATACTTCAGTAGTTTACGTACTCCCCATGGTACCACATAAATCCAATCCACATTTTTCCAAGATGGATCTGGAAAAAATTCAATTTCCGCATCCTGGAGAATACCTAATTCTCCTTTCTTGTTCTCCTGGTATTTGATTAAGCGAGTTGTATAATATTGCACAGCAAAAAAATCAGCAGTGCCTTTGATCATTTTCTTCTCTTCTTCAGTGAATTCTGGAAGCCTCGATGATGGATAGCCTTGCTTTTGACTCATGGAGGCAATTTGAGACTTGACAACTTCAGGATAATCACCATCGATGAATATGGGTTTAGCAAAGAAATCCAGATGGAATTTGATGGCTCTTTTAGCAGCTTCCTGGTCAGACACTGAGTTGGGATCTGCAGGTTCCAACCAGACCGCAAAAAGTGATAGGGACACCATACCTTTCTGCTGTTTTCGAAACAGGGAATCATAGCTGTGCCAGGATCTGGCATGAGCCTTAATCAAATTATGAGCTGCCTGATAACCTCCAGTTCCAAAGTGAGGGATACCTGGAGGAAACATACCTAACTCATATGCCATCATGGAAAGAACATTAGCTTCATTTATGGTGATCCACTGCTTGACACGATCCCCAAAGGTACTGAAGCAAAACTGAGCATATTTGTCAAAGGATTCAATGATAGACTCTGACAACCAACCTCCTTGGTCTTCTAAAGCCTGAGGCAAATCAAAGTGGTAGAGTGTCACGATGGGAGTAACCCCATTTTTTAACAAATCATCAATGATCTTGTTGTAATAATCAATTCCTAGGAGGAAAAAAGAAAGTGTTCAAAGAAGAAAAGTTATTTGTAGTATATTGGCAATAAATTTTAAAAAGGGAGAAGATCAAATAATTTTCTGAATGACTTTTATTCAAAACAAGTTTTATTACTTCCTCAATACAATCAATGAAAGACTGAGAGGAAATACTGAGAATTCCAAAGAAGAGTAGTTGATCAAGAAGTAGGAGTTTAATGGGATGACATGATTGAAAGATAAATGTATTGAAATGGATACATTTAGGCAGATCGCTGTTATCTATCTTTGTGTTACTTTCATACTTATTCAAATGATTTCATGCATTTCTATGTATGCTCATTTTTGTCCCTTAGCCCCACTAGAATACAAGCCCCATGATAGCAGGGGGCTTGTTTAATTCACCTCTGGATCTCCAAATCCTGGGACAGTACCAGAAATTTAGAGGTTAATAAATATTTGTTTAATAAATGCATGGATCCAATGGTATTAAGTATAAAGTAAAGGAATTGATCCAGATGACTGCCTTAATGCTTTTCCAGGCCTATTAGTCTCACAAGTCTAGGAAAAGAGACCTACTGAGAATGAACTAGAGCTCAACATCTGCCCCAGAATCTGGGTTACAAGGGCAGACAGCCAGAGGCTTAGGACATTAAGAGTACCTGGTTGAAGGTTTGCTCTAAAACCCTAACATAGTTCATGGGGATACACAGCCACCTCTGGCTCTCATCTGATTTTTCCAGGACTGCAAGTGTGTAAGACAGAGTTTTTAGGCTTGCTGCCGAGTTCAGAAGAAAGTTTCTAAATTGAACATGCCCTGGCTCAGAATTTATGTCAAAAATTCACTGAATCTAGCTTAATGATGATGCTTAGCTTGGAATAGGCTTTCTGGAGAGGCTGATGTTAGTACTTCATGTGGTTTTATATTTAAAAATATGGAGGCAACCTAAGCTTAGACAAGAGAAGCTGCCCTGTTTTAAGAGGTTGTTTCCTGGATAAAGATTATGAAGTCATATGTAGAAGTGTGTTGCATTGAAAGTTTCCCTAAGGAAAAGGTCCCTTTCTTTTTTCTTAACCTAGGAGCCTTCAATTTTTAAAAATAACGACATACTTTTGTATGTATTTCATTCATTAGATCATTTGTTTGTTAATTCCGTTAATACATATTGATAGAGAAACTACTACATGCTTGACATACAAACATAAGCAAAACAAATACCACCCTTGTGCTCAGGGAGCTTATTAGCAGCGACTACAGAGAAATTCATAAACAATTACAATAGAGTAGTAGATAAAGTACAGAGTCCTGTTTTTTATCTACAAAAGGTAGTACAGATAAAGTACAGAGTCCTATTTAAGGGATAAGTACAGAGTCCTATTTAATTATGAAAAGGGATATCCATCCTAAACTCAGGGTATTTGAAAATATTCTGAAAGCAATGTAGCGTAATTGTTTCAAGAGTGAATTATGGTGCCAGACCACCTAAATTCAGTACTAACCCTTTCACCTACTAGCTCTGCGACCTTGGGCAAGATCCTTAATCTCTCTGAATTATCTTTTCCTGTATGAGAAATATGGATTATAGTAGAAACCTTCTTCAATTAATTGTTGTGAGAGTTTAATGAGTAGATAAATTAAATATGTTTAGAACAGTTCTTGGCATATGGTCAGGGCTCAGAACAGGTTAGCGATCATCAAAATAGTAATTATTATTGTTATTAGTGACATCTAAGCTGATATTTAAAATAGGAATACAAATTAATCACTTAAGGTGAGGAGAAAAATGTGATCAAGGAAGAGAAAAAGAGGAAACAAAAAAACACAAAGGAAATGTTAAAATAAAGACCACTCAAACGAGAAAAACAGACTATTTACTCAGAGTTTGCTGTATCAAGAGAGTCGGCCACCAATACTTGCATTTGGCAGGTATTCAAATACAGTCAGGACAGTGGAAAAGCTTTAGAGTGGAAAATAGAGAACCCTTGGGTGTTCTCCGATTAAAGGTTGTTGGCCTTGGGAAGCATTGGAGTGCTAACTAGAAGCAGGGCATCCTTTGTGATTAGTTTGGGGAGCACATTTGGTTTTCTCTGGTTGCCCCTGAGTTGGAAGCAGGGAGCAGGGGGTAGAAAATAGAGAAGATATCAGTTGACCACACTGTGACTATTCTGGGCTGCTTGCTGCAGAGGCTGTGGTTTGACTTTCTGGGTTTCCTTTGTCAGTCAGAGTTTTACTATCAGATATGACCTGGCCAGTGTTTGTCTATTCACTCTCTTTCTGGGAATAAAAAGTTCGGTATAAGGAGAGTGTATCAAAAGAGGAATAAGAATGGTGAGAGATGAGCAAGGTAAGCAGAAGCCAAATTATGCACAATCATGTGTTTTCTCTCTGTCTGGGTAAGCGGGTATTTTTGACACCAGCTCATTTATTTTGCAAACTGGAATGTACTGTGAATCATGCATAACAACTCCATATTTGGAAGACACAGTTCTGTGCTATTTCTCACTTGGTAGCAGAAAAACTCATCCTCCCCCCAAAGATGTCCATTCTCTAATCCATGAAACCGGTGAACACGTTACCTTCCATGGCAAAAGGGACTTGGCAGATGCAATTAAGGTATGGACCTTGAATTGGGAAGAGTTTTCTAGAGTGTCCAGGTGGAAACAATATAACGACATGAGTTTTTAGAAGTGGAAGAGTAAGACAGAAGAGTGGGTCAGAGAGACGCAACAATGGAAGAAGAGGAGAAGTGGCAGCTTGAGAGAAACTCAACCCACTATTGCTGGCTTTAAAAATGGAAGAAGGGGACCAAACACGGTGGCTCATGCCTATAATCCCAGCACTTTGGGAGTCAGAGGCGTGTGGATCATGAGGTCAGGGGTTTGAGACAAGCCTGATCAACATGGTGAAACCCTGTCTCTAAAAAAAATACAAGAATTAGCTGGGTGTAGTGGTGCGTGCCTGTAGTCCCAGCTACTCAGGAGGTTGAAGCAGGAAAATCACTTGAACCTGGGAGGCGGAGCTTGCAATGAGCCGAGATTGGGCCACTGCACTCCAGCCTAGGCAATAGAGTGAGACTCTGTCTCATTAAAAAAAAAAAGAAAAGAAAAGTAAATAGAGGTAGGGGACCACGAGCCAAGGAATGCAGATGGCCTTTGGAAGCTGAGAACAGTCCTTAGCTGATAGCCAGAAAGGTAATAAAGACTTCAGTTCTACAGTCAAAAGGAACTGAATTCTGCCAACCTGAAAGCACCAAGAGACAGACTGTTCCAAAGATCCCTCAGAAAGAAACAGCCCTACAGGTATCTTGATTTCAGCCTCACAGACACCCATGACAGACTTCTGACCTATAGAACTCTAAGGTAACGAATTTGTGTTGTTTTAAGAAGCTAATATGTGATCGTTTGTTACAGTAGCAGTAAAAACTAATATACTCATGAAATTTTATAAACTTTCCTTTTTTCTCTCAATGAAAGAGTATTTCACCATCCCACCCCGGGGCCCCTGTAAACCCACATTTCTACATTTGTAAATGAGATATCTAAAGATAATATGATAAAACAATCTGGGTGTTGGTATGTGAGAGGGTTTTTATAGCCAACCCTTTCCATTGACTTTGAACATGAAAATAATATTAGCTTTCGTCTATTGAACTCGTACTATATGCACCAGATGTCATGCATTTTGCCAAATCCAAGCACTAAGCTCTAGAGATGCATGTTTTTATTCCCGTTTAAAAATGAGAAAACTGAGATTCAGAGAGTCTCAATGTTGACAAATGGCGTGGCCCACATTTAATCCCAGTCTGTCTCACTATAAAGACTAAGCTGTTCTCACTATGACATCCCACTTCTCGTGTTTACTGATGTTCCTGTACCAGAAACATGTGACTCTATTTTACCAGCCTTCATGGTCACCTACTTCAGACCTGATCACAATATCAAATTCCTTTCTCCCCGCTTTGTGGAGAAGTCATTAATGATGGACAATCAATGTAATTCAAACCACATGATAACCGTCCGTTGAAATGAAGATAAGTAAATTTTAAGAAATTTTTTTTCTCACACATCAGCACAGCAGAGAAACAGAGCATTCATAATTAATATTCACCATCCCAGAATTAAGCACTTTACTTCTCGATCACACAGTTTATTCAATGTCGTAATGAAACTTTTCCATGAAATGGAGTGGGATTGTTTTTTGTTTTTTGTTTTTTTGGTTTTTTTTGTTTTTTGTTTTTTTTGAGACAGAATTTCACTCTGTCTCCCAGAATGGAGTGCAGTGGCGCGATCTCAGCTCACTGCGAACTCTGCCTCCCAAGTTCATGCCGTTCTCCTGCCTTAGCCTCCCGAGTAGCTGGGACTATAGGGGCCCGCCACCTCGCCCAGCTAATTTTTTGTATTTTTAGTAGAGATAGGGTTTCACTGCGTTAGCCAGGATGGTCTCCATCTCCTGACCTCGTGATCCGCCCACCTCAGCCTCCCAAAGTGCTAGGATTACAGGCTTGAACCACTGTGCCCAACCAGAGTGGGATTTTTAAGAGGAGAGCCCCAGACCCAGAAAACTCAGTCAAAGGATCTTGGACAAATCACTTGGTCTCTCTACACTTCAGTATCCTATCTGTAAAATGGGAATGTTCATACTGCCACCTTAGGAGCATGTGAGTATTGAATGAGAATAAATTTGTCAAAGGGTTACTTAACTTTGTTTTTCAGAATGGCGTAAGTCACTGATAAACAAATTATCTGAATAAATGTGTATTTTTTAAATCATCACCTGTTATCAATCTAGGGATTCTGAAACTTTGAGAGGTCATTTGGATCCCGTTCTGCTTCTGGGTATTTAGGACAGAATTGATTATTTTAAGGATTAAAACTTCTATAGCTTTCTTTCATAGTCAGTATTATCTTCTCTGTTTTAATTAAGCTCATTTCTGCGTATTTGATCTTAGAAAATATGAAACATATTTGAGGTAGAGGTCTTTTGGATATAAGAAAAACCAACCAACCCAGA